TATCGCACCTACTACGATAATATTATACTCTTTATTGGCTTCGAGCCGCAGTTGATGAGGAGGTTCTGGGGACATTCTTCTCCTCATCTCGTCATGGTTTCTCACCCGGCGCTACTGGCGGCTGGGCTGTGGGGTTTGGACGATGTGGCACTCACTGGTGGAAAGAGGGAGGGTACATATCATACTTAGTTAAATAGGTGAGTGCCGGTACCGGGGGAGTTTATGCGAGAGTAATTTATTGCTTGTTGAGGTTTGTATAATTGTGTCTAACATGACAGCCGATATGATCCAACGCCTTGACAACCTATTTCTGAAAGAGCCCCACAATCCCTGACTGTACTAGCATACACTCTGAGTTACCGAATGGTTTTTTTTTTTTTTTCTTCTAAGAAAGGAGGAAAGTATGATAGAAATCCATTTACTGCTAAATCTAATACGCTCAATTGCCCCTCCCCCTCGCTGCGCCACCGCGGCCGCGGCCGCCACGGGCGCCGCCTCTACCCCCGCGCTTGGAAACCCCCGCTCCAGCCTTTGGCTTTAGGATTGGGGAGCTGGGCATAGGGGTGGCGAGCTTATCCTGCGCGGCCTTCTGCACCGACTCCATGATGCGCGTGCTCCGGCGCTGGGGACTTCGCGGGGCCTTGCCGGAAGTCTTTGCGCGTCGGGGTTTAGTGGATTTGCCGGTGGAGGTGGTAGTAGTGGGATTCTGATTTTGTTTCTCCAGCTCCTCATCCATCTCAACATCCATCTCCTCACCCATCTCTACTTGGGGCTTTGGTTCAACCTTGTTGGTGAGCTGGCTTGAAACACCCTGGGTAGCCTTCTTCTTTGTGACTCCTGTGCCGGCCCTGGGCTTTAGGATTGGGGACCTGGATTTTGTGGTGGGTTTCGCTGGGGTCTGGTGGCCCGACTGCTCTGCGATGGGCATCCTACGCTTCTGCGCTGACTCCATGATTCGCGTGCTCCGGCGCTGGGGACTTCGCGGAGCCTTGGCGGGAGTCTTTGCGCGTCGGGGTTTAGTGGATTTGCCGGTGGTGGTAGTGGTGGTATTCTGATTTTGGTTCTCCGGCTCCTCATCTATCTCCACATCCATCTCCACATCCATTTCCGCTTGGGGCTTTGGTTCAACTTTGTCGGCGTGCTGGCCCGAAACATCCTCGATGGCCTTCTTTGTGGTTCTCGTGCCGGCCTTGGGCTCTAAGATTGGGGACCTGGCTTTGGTGGTGGGCTCCGCTGGGGTCTGGTTGCTCGACTGCTCTGCGATGGGCGTCCCGTGCTTCTGCGCCGACTGGGTGGTGTGCATGCTCCGGCGGCGGATAATTTGCGGTACCTCATGGGTCGTCCTTTCCCCCGGGGCTTTCGTGACTCCGTCGGTTGTAGTCGTTTTCTCAAGTGCGATTGACGGGGACGTGGTGTTTGTCGCAACGACTGGGTATCCTGGGGATTTGTGGTTGGGTGTACGCGAGGAGGGAATCTGGGTTTCGTTTTGCGCCATGGTGGTGGAGGTTGTGATGGCATTCTGATTCTCATCCTCAGGCTCCTTCTTTACTGGGGATTTGTAATTGGGCGTGGGTGGTGAGGGAATCTGGGTTTCGTTTTGCGCCATGGTGGTGGAGGTTGTGATGGCATTCTGATTCTCATCCTCAGGCTCCTTCTTTACTGGGGATTTGTAATTGGGCGTGGGTGGTGAGGGAATCTGGGTTTCGTTTTGCGCCATGGTGGTGGAGGTTGTGATGGCATTCTGATTCTCATCCTCAGGCTCCTCCTTTACTTCGACTTTAGTGCGGCTGGCTTTCGTGGGCTCATGTATCTGGGTGGTGGTGTCCCCGAACACGAAGGGCGAGGGCGAGGAGGTTATGATGTATGGGGAGGATAATGTTCCCCGGGGGATGGTAGTTGGTGGGGTTCGTGGCTTTGGAGATTTCAGGGAGGTGAGGATGGGACGTCCGACAGGAGGGCTTGCTGCAGTGATTGGGTGTTCAGGTGGGCGATTGACCACCGATGGAGCCGGGATCTGAACCCCAGTCAGGGTCGTGGTGGTAGTAGCCATGTTCACCTTCGCCTTCGCCTTCTCCTCCTTGTTCACTTCCTTGGCCTTATTCCTCTCCTCCCCCCTCCCCTTCTTCCCCTCTCCCTCCCCCTCCCCCTCCCCCTTCCCCTTCCCCTTCCCCTTCCCCTTCCCCTTCCCCTTCCCCTTCCCCTTCCCCTTCCCCTTCCCCTTCCCCTTCCCCTTCCCCTTCCCCTTCTCCTTCTCTTTCACCCTCCCCTTCCCCTCCTTCTCCTGCTCCATCCTCTCCTCTTTCTTAACGTCCATTCCACTGAGCCTAGCCACAGCCTCAGAAACCGTATCCAGGTCGCTTGCCATCACGCTTAGGTGGTCGGTCTGTAGACGCATTTGAGGGAGGTTGGCTTCAAAGTGACTGTGTACCCTTGCCAAACGGATTTGGAGGGTTTCCATGATTTCGGTGTTGTTTTTGATGGCCTGGTCCAAGTAGGTGGCTACTGCCTGCAAGCGGGCGGTAGGGGTTAAGTCGCTGTCCCTGGGGACGATGGTGTTGGGGGCATTGGCGCTGGCGCTCATGGTTGGTGGGTGGTAAAAGTTTGGGAATTGAAAGTATTGTTTACTCTGGTTGGGGGCGCAGATGCTCGGTGGGAGTCGTGGATGTGTGTGTTGGTTCAAGGAAGGATGAGGAGGATGAGGAGGATGAGGAGAAGCATTTTATACCACAGGAAGTCCATGGGAGGGCAGATACAAGAGGAATCTAGGAATTCTGGGATCGTGAATGGAGTTTGTGAGTGGGGGTTGGTTCAGCCATTGTCGTAGGGAGCTTGGCGGTGAGGAGAATATATATTTCCATTGTGTTTTGTTTGAGATACCCCCCCATTCGCCTTGATATTGACCTTGAGCTCGTCGACCTTGCCATTGAATGGTAGAAGCCATTGATGTTGATATGCACGAACGTGAATGGGAACATCTCGAGATATGCCCTAAGCCCTGTCAGAGTCTAATATTTTGCAGCATCCTTTTCTTTTTGTCAGAATCCTTAAAAATCTTTTTCAAAATGAAAACATCAGCGCTAATACACAAAAAGGAAGGGGTTTTATTTTTGGTATGATACTTAAGGATGTCTTCTTGTGAACGCTGCCTCATACCAACCACAAATCAACCCCATAGCATCTATATCATTATAGAGATTGATTGTGGCCTTTTCATTAGCTGTAGCCCACCATAGATTATTGAGCTCCATGGATAATCTCCCACCTTTCTTGAACTTCAGTCGTAGAAGGGATTGAGTGTTGACCTCTATTTTCAATGTTGGCTGTACACGAGGACAGGGGGGTCTATATAGAGATGAGTACAGGAATTTTGAATGATATTAGCAAAGCCATTTCTTTTTCTTCCTTCCTTTCTTTTTATATTTACCTTTCCCAACACACTGGCCAAGTGCCACTACTTATACTCGATCTGGTATGCAGTTGATCGGTTTGTCTCGGCTGAGGATGGGCGTAGCACTTAGGCTCATGTAAAATCTATCATACTGTTGGCCCCGAGGGCTCGGTGTGGCCTTCCCGCCGGATATTTCTTCACATAGCTAGTGCGGTAGAAGCTCTATAGATGAGGCAACACGATGTATCAGCCCCCGAAGCTCTTATAATATTATATAGCAATCGTCTTGATCTAGGAATTTCTTTGTTAGGTTAGTTAAAGTGGTGGTTCTCGTTCTCGTGGAATTATCTACGGCTATAGGTTATGGTAACACCGACCTATTGTTTATTGTTATGAGGGTAGAGGGGTCTTGAGGGATGATGTTCTCTAGACGAGCGATACAAAGGGATTGGAGAAATGTTACGAGTGATTTCTTGTGATAGAAGTTGCCACCCACAATGGATTCTTGGTTTTCGGCCCAGTGCTTGATAATTTCATCCACCCCTTTGCATGCCCTATGGGAAGAGCATAAAGGCTGTGATTTGAGAGGATATTCTCCCAAAAGATTCCCCCCCCCAGCATTGGGTGGTGCTAGGCTAGAAGCTTAGAAGGAGGCTAGTGCTTTTCCGTAATCATCACGGCACTGGACCTACCCTTTACCTATCACTGGATCCTATTCTTAGGAAATGATAGGACTTGGATATATACACATATCCTCAGTGTTACGGGTGGATTAGCTAGGATCAGTTGAGTTTGCGCTACCGGGTCATACTCGTAGTTAAGTCTCGTCAAAGGGGTGGAAACTGGATATTTACCATAGGATTCTACCGATAAGGGTCAACCTACAAGTACTAGAAACCGCCTCTAGACGGTAAGACACCTCGTTTATTGTATCTCAAACCCTTGTTTTGCTTGTAAAATGCGCGAATCCCCGGGGCCTAGTCTTTACGATGCTATAAGGAGCTGGGCTCGGGTATGAAAAAGTGCGGAGCAGGGGATAGAGGAGAAGCCATTATAAAGAAATCTGGGACACCGTTATGATATGCCTATACTTTTTTTTTGCATTCACTTCCATCCAGGTCTTCTCTATTAACTTGCCCTCTTCACGTTGGTTTCGGAGAGGTCACTTGTGCAGTCTTTTATAGGGCTCTTTGAACTAACATTGCATACGGGTATGGGGTATATCTGTTTGGTGTTTTTTTCTCGGATTTGGGAGGTTCAAGAAAGCAATTTCGGGCCTACGGGCAGTCCCGCTTGGTACTTGTAACAAGGTGTTTCTAATATGATACCAACCGACGACGAGTGGCTCTATTTTACTATAGTGACTAGCTCTGTGAACTCCCCGTGGATCGAGCTGACTATTTTATCATACTAAGCTATCTGAAGAGCTGGGAGACCATCGACTCTGACTGTCAAGAATGTCACACTAATACCCTGTCTCTGTCATACCGGTACCACTACTGCCCTTGTTGACAGTGTTGTATCATATGATATCACCTCATGTTGCGCACCAACCAGAAAAGTCCAGAACCCCTGCACCGCACCACTCCCCGCCAACCCCCCCTCCAAACAACTGTTTACCCTCTTGCGCGGAAATTCTACCATAGTCCCCTCCCTACTAGAAGTCGTTCCGATTCCTGCTGACTCCACCACTATCGCCTACCACTACAACCACAGCCACGACGAATACCATCAACGAAACCAACAACTCGCACACCATGCTAACGAACACAATCGAAGAACTCGACCCAAGGTCAGAGTCAGACCCCGCCACCGTCTTCGAGGACTCCCTCTCCACCATATTCTCCGACCCCCGTGTCCAGCACGGCGAGCCGGGCAAGTACGTACTCTACAAGAGCGAGGAACTCGGTGACTTCAAACTCCGCCTTGCGGACCCGGACCCGTCTAATCACAGTTTATTTTCGCACTTTGTTTGGAATGTGATTTTCTCCTTCCACTTCCCCTCTATTCCGAGGTGATTGGGATGCGAGAGAGCTAATCGGGAAATGGTGGAGTGTGATAGGCAGCCTTGCAGGCAGCCGAGCTGATTACCACCGCCGAGTTTAATGTTGCTGGGAAGAAGGTCTTGGAGGTTGGCGCGGGTGCGGGCTTACCAGGGATTATTGCTGTGTATTGTGATGCGGAGGAGGTATTTGTGTTGCCCGAATTCCTCATTTACTAAGATGAGAGGTGGTCTAATGGGAGAGGTGGTGATAGACTGTGTTATCTGACTATCCGGTCCCGGAATTCCTCTCCAACATCCAGACTAACCTCGAAATCAACCTCTCCAGATCTCAACTGGCGAGAGCTTCGGTCATCGGGCATGAATGGGGCCAGACCGATGACAGACTATGCACCACTCGGGCAGGAGCGTTCGACAAGATCATCGCGGCGGATTGCCTCTGGATGGAGTCACGGCACGACAACCTGGCGAAGTCCGTCAAGACGCTTTTGGCCAGAGACGGGGAATTACTTGCCATTGCCGGCTTCCATACTGGGCGGGATAAAGTCGCAGGATTTTTTGATGCCGCGGAAAGGGCGGGCTTGGTGAGGGTTAAAATCACGGAGAAGGATGTTGAGGGGGCAGAGAGGGAATGGGTGAGGGATCGGGGGCAGGAAGATCCCGTGGAGAGGAAGAGGTGGTTGGCCATTGGTGTTTTCAGACAAAATGGTCTATGAGCGAAAATTGGCTTATAGTATGATATCATACGACTTTTTCTTTTCTTTTCAAATTTCAATTTTTTTTCTCCATTCCTATGCGGTATACAGACTGCTTCCGAGCAACCCCATATGACGGGGGAAAATTCACTTCCTACGAAAACATACCGAAGAAATGGTCTGCCCTTTCTGGCCACCAAACGAAAAAGATGGGTACTCTATCCTCCCATGATACTCTAACTCTATGCCCTCATTAGCGAACACCCTCCCAATACCAACCCATACAGCTGGTACATACCTTCACTAGCCAACATCTTCCCCTTCAACTCCTCCTCCGTCCAATTACAAGAAGTGACAACCAACAAGCCACCCCCCCTCTTCATAACCCGTACCACTCGCTCCGCATACCCTTCATATACCCTCCTCCCATCCGGTAGCCTCCCATCACCAAGCGAAATTGCATCGAACGTGCCTTTATCCAGACAAACATCGAAGCCGCCCCGAGGAACCCACTCCTCCGCTTCTACCTCCCCGTCCCCTAAAGCCAGAATATCCGCAACCCAAAACGCAACCTTCCCTTCCTCCACCCCCCGCCCCTTGGCAATACTCCTCGCCAGGGCGACAGCCCCATCAGAGTAATCCACGCCGACAAATAACCCCCCATCCCAAGACCCTTCCTCCACAATCTCAAAGAGTAGATGGCCATTTCCAGTGCCGATGTCCAGGAACGAGCGCGCCTCGGGGGCTATCCGCCGCAGGAATGACAGGATGCGCAATTCCGCGTCGGATTCGCTGAACCAGACATGTCCCTCGTTCGCTGGGTCTGCGTTGAAGTTTTGGGATTCGAGGGTGTAGGTTTCGTCCCAACTTTTTTTTTTTTTTGGTCTGTTAGTCACTGAAAAGGGGTGGATGGGTGGGGAGGGGGAGAGGGGGGACTTGCTATTCTTTTGTCCCAAGGTTGCTGGGGGTTAAGTGCTCTTCCGACATACTCGCGCTTATCATAGAGACATTCGTGCTGGAGCTTTTCCGTGAGAGAATTTTTAAATAATCATACACTTAGTACTGTGCTCGGGGATAGTGCTGGTGGGGTAAGTAGTGGGGTTAAAGTGAGGCTCTACTTGCCGTGGGGTGTAGGGGTAAATCTGGGGAGAATCCCTGAAAGTTGCTGTACTCGCACAGGGTCATAAAGGTCGGAAAAAAAAGATTTGCAGGGTCACGCTGGGAAGTTGGGAGACAGGTTGCGATGTGGAAAAATTGTTATCTTGGCAGATATTAGGAAACTGGATGGAGTGTCTTGAGCAGGTATATTGAACGTAAGAATTATCAAAGCTGTGATGGATGACAATATATGGAGTAAGTAGCTGGGAATGTGCAAGAATAGTAAACTCACAAAGACGTTTAAAGAAAGTTCTTGATCAGATTCAGAGTAAACTTGTTCTCAAGTTTTCCTGGGGCCTGAAAGATAAATAGGAGGATCCTAGTGCTAGAAACACATCATGCTCCGTTGCTCCTATTTTCCTCCCACATAGTTTGGCAACACCACGTCGACTATCATGGGCCCTCCCACTCCCCTCTGCCCCCTCGATGGTTCCTGCCTAGGGGCACGGTTAACTCTACCATCCTCTCCCACTTTGGCCTCGCTTGTCTCTTGTCTGCTTGATGGGGGAGTTATCTGGGCTCGCCCAGTAGTCCTGTCTTGCTAATAGGTGCTCGCTTAGCTTTAGCACGGTCGGCTTCCTCTCTTCGCTTCCAGACAGCGCTGGCAATGGTGGACGTCCTTCTCCCCACTTGCATGATCCCCATTGGGGAACGCCTCGGCTAGTAACTTCGGGGTCTGTCTCGCGGTGAGATTTGACCATGCCCTCCTAGTTGCTTGGTTCAAGTTTGGTTGCCTTCCTCACCTCGCCCTTCCATCTCCCTGCCACCGGTGGGATCCCTTCCACTAAGTGACGTTATCTCTCGGAGAATAAGGGACTACATGAGAGACGCGGTAATACATCGGTTCGGTCTACGGTCGGGTTTGCACTGGGGCCTTTGGCCCTACCTCCACTTTCCACTTCGGTCGCGTCGGCTCACACCCTACTGCCTTCTCTCTTTGGCTGGTACCCTACTACCTCCTCCCTTTGGCTGGCATCCTACTGCTGGGCGGCATCCCCTCTGCCAAACATCCATTCCTTGGGCCTGGCACCGTGGCCTCTGTTCTCGATTGGCGGGTCATGGTATTGCACTACCTCTGTGGCTTAGCTGGTTGGGGGCGGTTCTTTAAATAACGGCAAATCTGGTGGTACGGTGGGCAGTGGTTATTTTTTTTTTTTTGTGGCCCTATAGGTCTTGTAGTTTACGGGATGGAGTTTTTCCTTATGCTTTCCTGCCTAGCTTGTTTGGTTTCCTTCCTGTTAGCTACACGTAGTTAGTGGGTGGGGATTTCTTTCGGGCGAGGAATCTTCTTGGACTTTTGGTTGGCTTCTAGGCAAGACCCTTTCGCGTTCAAGTCGTGAGGCCTGCGAGCTGGGCACCTGAGCTGATCGCCCTTGGAGTGTGTGCGGTTGGGCCCATACCAGAGGGTCTTGGGGGTATGGGTTTTCTCTTGGTGCGGGGTGGAGGTGTTTTCTTAACACCATACCTAGCGCTGCATGTGATGTTCTTGTACCTTAAACAAGTAACTAAATGATTATAAAAAAAAAAAAAAAAGTACTAGAAATACATCCACGCTCCGTCGCTCCTATTTTCCTTCCACATAGTTTGGCAACACTACGTCAACTATCATTGGCCCCCCCCACTCCCCTCTGCCCCCTCGATGGTTCCTGCCTAGGGGCACGGTTAACTCTTCCATCCTCTCCCGCTTTGGCCTCGCTTGTCTCTTGTCTGCTTGATGGGGGAGTTATCTGGGCTCACCCAGTAGTCCTGTCTTGCTAATAGGGGCTCGCTTAGCTTTGGCACGGTCGGCTTCCTCTCTTCGTTTCTGGATGGCGCTAGTAGTGGTGGACGTTCTTCTCCCCAATTACACGATCCCTGTTGGGGAACACCTCGGCTCGTAACTTCGGGGTCTGTCTCGTGGTGAGATTTGGCCATACCCTCATAGTCGCTCAGTTCAAGTTTGGTTGCCTTTCTCACCTCGCCCTTCCGCCTCCCTACCGCCGGTGGGATCCCTTCCACTAAGTGATGCTATCTCTTGGAGAACAAGGGACTACATGAGAGATGCGGTAATACAGCAATAGGTTTTTGGTTGGTTGGGTCGGTACTGGGGCCTTTGGCCCTTCCTCCCTTTTTCTCTTTGGTCGTGTCGGCTGGTACCCTCTACTGTCGGCTGGTACCCTACTACCTCTCCCTCTTTTGCTGCTTCGGGCAGCCCCTTCGGCCCTCCCGGACGGACGGCTTGGGCTCTCGTTCTGCCAATACCTCCTGCTTACAGCAGGCGCTCTTTCCTTTGGTTTCTCCTACTTGTGACCATAGGCTACATGCCCAAGACATACGTTTATGTCACCTATGCGGCGCATCTATTTGTTTTTTCGACTTCACGGGCCAGGCCTGGCCATTGATTTGTCCCAAGCGAGGAGCACGGGTTGGGTTGGTATCTGGTTGTTGTAGGTGAGGGATTGGTTTCGGCCTTTCGTTTGGGGTTACTCTGGTTTTGGTTTTCTTCAGTTCAGTCGGAGATGTACTGTCAGGATGGGGGTTTTTCCTTGCTTTGAAGGATGGGTTTCTGGGCTTTCTGTCTTTACCATTTGTAGATAGCCGTGCGGGAGACTTGCGGGGGAGTTTTTTAAACCGAGGACTGGTTGGGTATCGGTGGCTCTAGGAGAGACTCCTCTGCACTCAAGTCGTGGGACCTTAGGGTTGGGCACATGGCTGCTGGTGTTAGCCTTTCTGGGGTCACCATTTTTCTTCTGGCTGCTTGAGAATAAGGTGGGGTGGAGGTGCAGGTCTATATGGCGAGAGCTGATATGACCCCCAGCCTTACTTTCATTAAAACAGATAAATAAATAAGATTATAAAAAGAAAAAAAGAAAAAAAAAAGTGATAGAAACACATCCAGGCTCTGGAGGTACTATCGGGGACTTTTCTTTTCTCCCCCCTATATCATATGTGTCAAAGGGATCCTAGCCATGACTGAGAGTGTAGCTTCAAATACTTTACTGAGTATAAGTCCAAGCTTAGATATTTTACCCCATTCCAATAACCTCAATCACTTGAGTTCTCTGGGTCCTTTAAGGGCTGCACCTATACTGCCTTCCTCTCCACAGCATACTACGAGTTCTCTGGCCTTACCGGACCATACTCAATATAAGTCATTTACTAATTATATTGAATGGTACAAAGCCAGGAGAGGTATATGCCATGAAAGTGTCAGCACTGAAATTAGAAACAATAGTAGAAAGTAAATCTCCAATAGTACTATACTTTGGTAGTTGGTAGAAATTGGAAAAATATCATTACTAATTTCATACAAACCTTTATAGAGATAAGGATTATGTTTTCCAATTTTTAATAATTCTCTCAAGTACTAAGCCCTAGGTCTGGAGTATTCTGATAGAGCAGGACAGATGCTTTAAGTGAAAGGGAAGACTTATCAACTATGAAGGCTTCTAGGACAGAAAGGCCTATGACTGTATATGACAGAAATGAGAAGGAGGAATCATGGGAGGATATTGGGTCTCAGTCAGGAGGGGACAGGCCTGGGCTGGATGTGGTATTATGTAAGACAAGCAATCTTGTCTCTAAGCAGAGTACTTTGGAAGAAAAGGACTCTGTATCTGCAGTCATATATTCTCATATCTCTAATAAAACCCGATGAATCATTGGAGGACTTCGTATCTAGACCAGCTGGACATATATTCAACTTCATCAAATCTCCCAACTGCACTTTAGTACCCTCTACCATATTACTAATAGTAACACTATGCCTAGTGAATCTCTATAGTGTGAATGGCCTCCTACTATTTCTCCTGAAATCTAATACCAGCTGATCAATCTTGCTACTGCTGATGCCTACCACTACCACCTCCTACTTACTCAGATTGCTGACCTTACTAGTATTTGTTTAGACCCAATGCTGTGAGGTACATTTTTGCTAGTCATGAATATTACTGTTGAATTGCTTACGTAAAACTATTTCTTTCTTCTGTAGCCAAAGTGAAAAGTAAGGATTAAGGAGATAAATACCGGGATTGAATGATTAAGGATTGGCAAGATGTTATCTGGTCCAATTAGTATGCTTTTTCAGTTGGCCAGATCCCAGGTAATGTCTGGGTAACTCGCCAGTCAGGGGGGAACTTCCTAGAAGATTATTTTGTACATAGGTTTAGCTGACTCATAACAGTCATGGTTTGGGGAGAGAGTATACCGTGATATAAAAAGATCTCCTTATTATTTGAGATATGAAGAGCTGGGGCAATATTACCAGATCTATCTATATTAATAGGATAATTCAACCTCATCTTTACTCATGGTATATGTCACTTCATGAAGCTAGTAAAACAAACTCTGGCTATATTTATTTTCAACAAGATAGTGCAGCTGCCCATCACTCGAAACATGCTACTCAAGTCTTTCATGAGTTAGGCATATCTTCTTATATTTTTCCTTGACCACTGAGCTCTCCTGATATGAACCTGATGGAAGGAGTACAGTATCTTCTAAAACACCGTATTCAAAACTGGCATCACTGCCCAGTCACCATTCCTGACCTTTACTCTGCCAGTCAGGAAGAATGTAATAGAATCACCTCTGATGAAATACTAAATCTTACATCCTCAGTTCCTAACAGGTTGAGAAACTTCTCTTAAATCGTTGTGGTCATACATCTTAGTAGTATCTTGGATTCCACTTTTTTTTTTTTTTCTTCCCTGATTATTTTCTAACCGTGATGATATCTCCACTCTGCTTCCTTTTATACTCTACACTCCAAATATTATTATCTCATCCCCTTAAGCATTGTCTTCATTAACTATTCTTATTTTTCTTCAGTATCTACTGTTTACAGCCTTCTATCATAATTATTCTTAAAAGACACTGTAATTTACTCTCTAAAGTTTCAAGTACTACATCATGTTGTCTGCTGTCATGAATGATCACTTGATGCAACAACCTCTGTCTTTAAGTGTCCTGTAACACTGCTTTTTTCCACTTGCACACCCTGATCAACATGCCTAATTCTTGTCTTGCTACCCGAGTTTTCCGCCCTATAACCCTGCGCGAGTACCCCCGTGCCATTCTGTCACGAGTTAAGCCTGCCTATGATATATATTATGATAGTATGATATCATGGCCACAGCCCCAGACGTGAAGAGCACGTTCACAGGAACCTTTCCGATGGATTGGGGTGCTCATACGCCATTTTTGATGATACAGACCCATCCATAATAGATGCCAGCCTTACAAGTAGTCTACTTGGCGAGTGCCTGAGCACAACGCCCACCCTCGATCCGACGGATTCCCACCACCAGAGAAATTTTGATAAACTCGACCCATCCGCTATAATTTCTAACAACGATCCAATCATACTTAGATCGCTCCCCTCCACCGGGTGCTGAGACCGGAGAAGCAGACGTTTGTCCCACCAAAATTATCAAAATCAAGATTGGAGTCCAAGCCGGCGTATCAGCACTGGCAAATCAAGTCAATTAGTATCTGGCCGGGAACCTCAATAAGAGCCAGACGACGCTGGATCTTGGGCTTGTGCACGACAAAACACAGTGGAAAAATGCCATTCGGGCCACAAATCCCCGTCTCAGGGAGGGTGTCAGGTGGATCCACCGCGAAGCACCCAACTCCACCGCGAAGGACTGAATGTTTGCTGAGGGTGGCCTGGGGAAGGCGGAAAGGTTAGGCAAGGAGCTTGTGACGGGGGTCAGGTGTCCTGGTGCTGCCGGTATGGTACCCATCTCTATATGGCCACCAACAGTGGTAGAAGAAGGGGTTGGTCGACTCTCAACTTAAATTCGGTTACTCTGGTAGGGGTACTGTACTGTGCTCGAATACATATATGCAGAAAGAAGTGGAAAGTCAGATGATTTATCGAGTGGAATCCGATGACAAATTTACCTGACTTTCGGGTTACTGGTATTCTATCGTCGATCGCGGTATCATACATTTGGTTTTGGCACGTCTCGTCTGTCCCTAGAGTGGACTGCCACCCATCGCGTACCGGTGGCCCTCTCCAGGTTCCCACCACTTCGAACGACGCGGGGTGACCTCCAAAGTACAGTAGGTGGCACTCCGAGGGTTCCAGACAGCTCAATGATATAAACAGCTCAATGAAAGACTCATCAGTATGTCACTATTCATGATATCCTTTCTCAGATTGCTCAATCCCAACACCATTACGCTGAATGAAACCTATATCAATCTAGTGGTGAGAATTGTACAAGTCATTGATTAAATTGAGGATGAAAACAAGAAAGCCCATTATCATGACACTGGTACAGTAAATAACTTGTTATATCGATAAGATGTCTTTTCCAAGTCTATTACTTGTTGAATTAAATAACCATGAAGATACTTTGATACTTATATAACATGTCTGAGTATTTATAGGCTACATCTATCTAATTTACTAACTAAGTATTTGCCTTCTAGGTTAAGAGGTTTATACTAGTACAGACATGGTTTTGACTTTGAGAATATCTTCCCTACTAAGTATGAAGATTGATGAAAACTCTTATTTTTTCGGCAGTGTGTATTACTTTTCTAGTAAGTAGTCTTTGGTTCTTTTACTAAATAGACTTTAATTTAATTATGCTATTTAAAAGTAAGAACACTAGTCAGCTTTTTGAATATGAAGAGTACTGTAAAAACTCTTGAAATCCGCCATCTCAGGCTGGTGTGTGGCGTACTGTGGTAGGGGAGTATGCAATATCTTGGCTGGCTATTTAGGGAAATGATAAGCGACAAGGTGACACTGTGTCTTATAATTTCAACTTCATGGGTATCAATATACTTGTCCGGTCACCAGGGTGCTTGACTACTAATACTTGACGAAGATGAATTTCAGGCATTTATAAATTCTACATTGATGTTTTCGTCTTCAGCCACAGAAATGTCTGCATCTGGGGGTGTGGTCCCAATATCCTCCCTCCAATTCCCACTCTCCAGCCCAAAAAAAAATCCCTTAATATCTAATTCAGAGTCGGCACTTCCATCCACAGGAAGTGATAATCCCACTTTGCAAAAAATCCTGCCTATGATGTCTTTTTTTTCCTCATGAAACCTGTAGAAAACCTCATCTGCATAGGAGGTTGTAAGTATCTGGCATTGGTGTACACTCCACTTCTGAACACTTTCGATAGTTTCAGCTTGGAAAATTGCCACATCTGTTTGCTCATAGATAAGATATTTGAAGGGCTTGTTGATTGCGATAATGAGAGGCTGTACTAGACTTGTGCAGCCACCCGGGATCAGGGAGGGTGTAATATTGTGTAATCGCATTTTTTGTAGAATGGCTAGGGTGTTATGAGATCCCATTAGATCAATCGCAAACAAGATAGGGCAACCACCAAGTACTGGAACTAGATAGTCCTCAATGTAGCATAAAAATAGCTTGTCATTCATGTATGCTTTCTCATTAAATTCAATGAGCACTCGGGAATCATATTTTGAGTGCTCATCTCCTAGCTGTATATCCTTTTCCCAAAAAATCACCACTGGGGGAACCTGAGTAACCCCATCTGCAAAATCACACAAGACCAGTGATACGTGTCTTTTATTCCAGCCACTCTGGGAGGACGTAGTCCAAACAGTTTTCTTACCTCGCATCTCATATATTTTACCATCAAGGTATGCGAAAGGGATCAAAGTCTTATCCAAATTGCAAAAATTAGAGAGCTTAATGTGGGAGACTAGATGGCA